CATCTTCACTGCCCTCCTGCCTGTGTCCTTAGAACTCCGGTTGTGAAATGCTGACCCTGATGAGATGGTACCCTCCCTTTTAGTGATTTTTATGTCCTTTGCCTGTGTTAAGAGCAGGGAAAGGTATGAAGCTCACTAAAGAGTTTGGAGGGGAGGGACTATGAGTAACTGTCATGTTTCAGTGACTGCGGAGGCACCCAGGTGTGGGGGGAGAGGAGGGAGGAACTCTATACTCAAAGGTTCTGATATGTTTGTACTGTAATTTCTATCTAGTGTGAAAGAATGACCTTTTGCACCTGATATAACTTTGGACCTTACTAAATCTGATTTTAAGAGTAAGAGGACTGTAAATTCTCAAGATGAAAAAGGCAGTGCTGACATCTTAAGTTCTTTAACTTCATAGTTTGAGTCACATAACTCAGCATTTTAATGTGCTTGAATATAGTAAAAATTACACTACAGTAATAAATGGGTCATTAAAACTTTTTTAAAAGCCCTTTTTCCCCTAAAGGTTGGTATTCTTGTGTTTACATATGAAGATCATTTGCACCTTTACAAGGAAAACAAGTATTCTGTAAACAAATGTTTACATGTATCATTTATGCTTTTTTCTAGCATGAGTAACTTGTATAAATAGTGCTATCTTAATAAATTTCTTCTATGCTGTTTTTTGTTTGTTCCTTTGGGTGAAAGCAGTGGACTATACTTTTGTATAGTTCGTGTGGACATAGATGCTGCGGTGTTTTTCAGATACCACTCCAAGTAAAACTGGCTTAAAACTGTTTGTTGTTACGCTCAGTTGCTTAGATGCACGTTTCTTCCAGAAAAAGCTGGTTCTGAATTATCTGGCTAAATCTAGCTCTCTTCAGTTAACTGCAGTTATCAATGAGGGCTATACTCATTTGCAGATAAGCATGTAAAAAGAAAAAAGTAGCTTTTCATTCCAGCACTACCTTACTACACACATATATAGCAAAGCATCACTCTTGAAAGCTGAGTATGGCTGTAGTTTACAAACATACTCCACTAGAGTGTCACATGCTATTAGTCTGTGTTCTTAAGGCAAGGAAGAGGTTAAAGAGGCTATATGGAATTTAGTTTGAGATTACTTATGCAAATTTGTTGGAAAGAGCTGAGCATTAGACTTAAAACCAAGCCAACCACACCAACTGGGTGTAACAGTACTGTTTTCAAATCAAATACAGGTACCAGTTATGTCCTACTTCTGCTTTACCCAGTGTTCCTCTGAACTGATATAGACAAATAAATGGGAAACTAAAGTACCAGAAGTGATAGTTTAAATAGCTGGTGAGCTGTCAAGACCTTCAGAAGATTACTTAGCTGCTTCTACCAGGGTAAGAGTTATCACTTTACAGACAGCAACCTTTACAAGCAAAAATAATCCATCTTCAACTAGTAAACAAAAATTAAAACCAAGTGCATATTTCTTTGGCTAGTAGTTTAGTAAGGTAAGCTATAGTTGGAAATAAACACCACACAAGTATATATTTAATCAGGCATAGATGGTCTTTACTTTGCTCAAGACCAATCTATTGGCAAAAGATGGTAAATATTTTCTTTATTTAGTAGGCACAGTAATAGAAAAATCATAACACTTGGCATGCACTTATGCTACTTCCTTTCTGCTCACTTAAGCTATGGCCAGGCACCATGCACTAGCTCTCTGAACTGCCTGCTGTAGAAGGGGGAGATCTAATATAAAATTTTAACACCCATAGCTACAACCCTGAGAGCTGTCTGGCCTACAAGATGACATCCAAGACAACAAACATCAGACAAAGCATAGTAAATATCGAGCTTATACACAGACCTCAACTTCCTGTGTATTAATTTGTCTGAGGACCAACAGGCTGGACACACAAGGCAGTTGTCAGTCTCATGCTGTTCACCTTAGCCCAACCAGGACATAGATGAACACCTCTATGACCATCACCAACTGGCCTTAGCAAACTAGGAAGTTAGAGACCTGGATATTTCAGCCCTGGGTCGTAGAACATGCACCCTTTCTCAGGTGTGCTTGACTTTGCATTTAGACTGGCCCAAGAGTAGTCACAGTTTAGCTAAGGCTACTGTCTGTATAGCTTAGCCTAAACTAGTTAAGTGAAAACCAAATTGCTATTTGAAACAACAGAAAAACCTGTCAATAAGTTGCATCCAAGAATTGGCAAAGTTTTATCTCCTAGCCCCTGGCTGACATCTACACATAAATGAACAGAGTGACTATGATAAACCAAGGGTGCTTAAGAAGCTATTAGCAGTTTGTCCTGTAGCCCTTCTTTAGGGCTTTAGTCTGCTTTTCTTTGCTGTGCGTGATATTGAATTACAGCTAGTTAGAGTTGAGTGCAGGAGTTAGCATCCAACTTTGGACAGCCAGCATGGAAGGCAAAATGATTCTGCAGGACTGAGTTTCCAATCAGTTTCTCAGCATGCATCTTCCAACAGTAAGCCTTTTTAGTCTGAAGATTTGCTGTAACAACTCTCATTGTATCTGAGAGATTGCTAGTTCCGTCAGAAGCATCAGCACTCCAGTTAGGTATTGGCTTTGTAGAAACTATAAGGAAGAGGAAAAAAAAAGCACGTCAAAACAAGAATTGCAGTTGCCAGATTTCCACACCCTTAAATAGTTGGAAATCTACTACTGAGTGTTCTGTGTGATTAGTCAGCTTCTCTGTTGTTGTTGGCAAGGTACCTATTTTGACCCTGGTTATGCAGACTTCTGCTTCTGTCCCATGTGAAGCAGGGTACCTAAGAGACACCCTGCACCTACTCCTGCTTTTTGAAAGGTGAGAATCCTAGCACTTCTGCTACCTCCCTCCTTCTGTAGGAAGGCCAGGAGACTATGCCAAGTTTCCTTGAATATCCATTTCTTCTGAATATCTGACTTGAACTCATTATCCCTATTATGGAAGGGCCATAACTGAGCTTACACAACACTTTCCAGAAGAGAACCCTTCTTTAGAAAGCCTATTCAGTTGAGTATCTCTTGTGTTTACTTACTTGTGACATAAAAAGTTGTTTAAGCCACTTTTTTAAACTACTGCAGGTAAAAATAGGCAATGTAGTGGTTTGCAGTTACCCTACCAAAGGCTGAAATTGTTGAGATTCTTCACAGCAAAGCTTATTTTCTTTTTTTTTTTTTTTGATGAACTCATGCTCCAGGAGAGAGGTCCCAGTTGTAGCCTCTACCATTCCCTCTGTACCCAGAACAATGAAGTCAGCACATCATAGACAGACTAAATTTAAGCAATTGCAGTTATCCAAACTGTTCTTTAACTCAGAATACCGTATTGTATTCCTTGAAGAAACTTGAGGAAGGGTTAATCTTCCATGGTTTTAAAGTGTATTTTTGATACCTCTATAGGGAGACTAGCACCTTTAAGAAAAGGGTTACAAGTGAAGTAGCTTTAAGCAAGATGTTTTGACTCTAAAGATCATCCATCTCTTAGCTTTCTAGTATTGCAGTTATTAAGACAGAGGCAGAAGACAAATATAATTAACCTGCTACTTAGAAATAACTGCTGTGGGGGTGTACTAATGAACTTTTTTTTAAGGTTTTTTGATTAAGTTTGGGATCTTTTTAAGTCTAAGTTTTGGACAATGGGCAAAGAAACTTTCTTGTTCATAGCGCAGCTAATAGACCTATTTCTGGCCCAAGACTAGGGTTAGTAGCTTCTGCTGCAATACGGTAGTAAAATACTGCATTAATAGCTGCCCCAACTCCAGAACTAATTATGACTAATAAGAGCTGAGAGCTTAACAACTTCTTTGTAGGAACATATGCATAAGAAACATGAAGCCTTCATTTGTAGAAGTAAGGCATTTCTAGACAGGTACAGCCATTTTATTTGCCCAGTATTAGTTGGGACAACATGCTACTTAAAACCTCACCTTTATAATCCCATCACAGTGTGCTGAGGCAATTGCTGTAGAAACTTTCACCAGTTTTGTAGCTGACAAGCGGATCTTAAAGTGTCTGTGGAAGTGAGAGTAAAGGCAGTCCATAAAGACGTCGACCTCTTCTTGAGTGATCTCTCCTGGAGTTTTTTGGACTGTGTCCCACAGAGCTTTTGCATCCTCTGGATGAATGGCATATGAAATATCCAGAGGCTGGGGCAGATGGGGGACAGAGAAAACAAGTTCCATGGCAGATACATTTTTGTCTACTTTGCATCCGGTCCACATAGCTGCCATCCAACTGAGATTGAGAGGGCTGATGGCTAAACGGCGGAAGCAGCAGTCAAAAGTCTTCTGAAACCAACTTCCAACAATGGACGTATAACTCTCTGCCCCGTTAGCAAGAAACAGAGGTAAACAAGTGAAGTCCTCTGGCACGTTCTCGGAAAAATCATCTCCAGACACAGAGCAGAACCAGCCCGACCATATCACTTTCTCTTCTGAGTTTTTTGGGGAAGCTGGTGATCTTGAAGAAAGCTAGGATGGGGAAAAGAAGTATTTGAATGCTACAGAGAAAGTTTCACTTTTTTTAGCCAAAGATGGTTTTTGTTTTATCATTTCAAGTGTTTGGTAGATTTTTCTCAGGACCTCATATACAACATTCTTCTCTGTAAAGCTCATACAGTTACTCAGTCTATCCATGACATCCCTAAAAGATGCGTGCAATTTTGTTGAAAACAGCGGGGAAAAGCATTTTGTACTTCATTTGGAACAGTCCTGAAATCTGAGTTTATGCTGCTTAAGAAGAGCCAATCCGTAGTACGTCCCATAACCACTGACACACTGAACTCGGTGTTTCAGTAGCATCTTTCACTTGAGGCAAAGCATTTCAGAAATATTAATTAGTCTTGAGCTATGGCCAGGAGATAGGATTATACCAGCTTTGTCCAGGAAGCTAAATAACCTGAGTTCTTGCAGTAAATTGACTGCTGAACTGAAAAATTAGACAAAGATTGCTCCTTATATTCTTACTCTCATCTTACCAAAGAGTTGAACTCAAAATTGCAATTAAATGTATCTGTTGCTTATGAGATGCTCTGTTCCAGTTAAAAACAGACAAGACTCACTTTCATTAAATCTCAACAGATACTACAGTAGTTATTCCATACAGCTAGGGTGGAAGACTCCTTACCTGCACAAGAATCGCAGCCTGGTCTCGGTCACTACCTCTCAGGTCTGGAAGGCTGGAGATGGCCACTTTGATGCCCAGCTCGACCCCTATTTCCACCGCCAATCCTTTCTGCTTCTCAGCAGCAATGAAAGCACTCAGCAGTCTGGCATAATCCCTCAGGTGAGCGTCAGAGAATCTGTACAGAGGGGTCACGCTGTATAAGGTCCACTGCTTGCGCAGTAGAAATGCGGTTTTCTGAGAATCTACGTTTTCCTAAAAAAAGAAAACCAACAAAAGTTAAGAAAATAAGATTACAGCCCAAGAAACAAGGGTAGCTTCCCCCTTTGGGGCTTGCAAAGGGACCCCAACCCACACGGCCCAGGCGCTGTGCCTGAGCAGGGAGGGGGGTTCCTGCCTGGCAGCACTGCGGGAGGGGTACCGAGCAGGA